TAAGTTGTCTTAAGTAAAATTTGTACTCATTTAATGAATTATGCTTTGGTTTTACACAACTATAGTGTGTTTGCATTAACTCTGCTATGTAAAATATAATGGTGAGTTAATAGCAGGATAATTTCCCTATGGAACAGGATTATGACTTCAACCCTCCTGGAGTCAGAATAAAATGCTGCAGGATAAGAGACCTTATTATCTTTAACTCCCTAAATCCTACCATAACAGATGAAGTGAAAAATAGCTTATGTGTTTTCGATAAAGTTTTCATTCCACAAATTAACATGATCTAGGGTGGAAAGATATGTACATATTATCCTTTCTAAGACTTCTTTAGCTTTTATGTCACTGACAAATTTATTTTTTTTTACTGGATGAAGTATTTAATAACTTGATTTGTCTGTAATTTCATTTTAAAAGTCATTACTAAATCCATCAGGACCTAGAGCTGTGTTAGAGTGATTGAATATCCTTATAAAGTTCCCCTACATTTGCCATAATTTCTAATTATCACAGTAAATGCATTTCAATGACAGTAAAAAATGTAGCACATCAAAATGGCTATAAATGGTTTTGAGAACTTGAAAACATTATTTTTGAATGAACAAAGTGCGGCTGCTATTAAAGAAGTCACTGAACCTCGTTTTGCTCAATTGTTGATTACATTACTGGAAAAAATTGGGGTTTTTTTTGTTTCATTTTAAGGAATGGCTAAGACAGTTTACTCACCTTAGCATCTCATGAGTTTATTTCAGACTTTTTTGTGTTGTATATCTGCAATATTGAAAGAATTTTATTGAATAGACCATAATCAAGGCTTCCTGGGTAATTGTACACAATCAGATGCCTTATTGCACCAAAAAGCAGTGTTGTGTTATAAGTTATATGTCCATAATAATAATATTTCTCAAATTCCCTTGCTTCATGGGTAACTTCAGAGCTGACATAACTCATAACCTTAGTCCTTATGATGAGCATAGAATTATTTTTACCTGCTTGTTTCTGTGACTTTTTTATTGTAATACAAGAGTCTTTTGTATATGAATTATATTTTTAATGCAACAGTCCTATGACTGCAGTAGGTTTTATCTTTATTCAAGGTAAACAGAAGTTTCAACTGTTGGAGACACTGAGTGGGTGAGCTTGGCTGAAGATGCAACAGGCAAATTTTCCAAAGGGTGAAGGGCTATTTAAAAGTTTCTAGTGTATTTTTATGATTGAATTTCTTTTAAACAGCTTTGTTTGAAATTTAGTTTGGTCTCTGAGAAAGAAATACAAGGGAAAACATTTCTCCAGGCCTTTGATTTAGAAATTATTTTGTTTCCAAACATCTTTATAAAGTTGTATGTGGTAAGATAGGGACAGGCGGAGCGGAAGATTACCGGGATGTCACGGAAAGACAGACCCCTTCCCCCCCTCTCTCTCCCCTGCTTATCTGCTAACCCAGGAGTCAGAAAAGAATGTAGCCACACCTGTCCTGGTAAAATTCCACTACCCACTATCCTCCGAGACCCCAAACCCCCTCTGACGTAGCAAAGACTCCTAAACCTATATAAACCCACGAAGTAGGATAATAAACGCTTTTCAACCGTCTGCCATATTGGTATCTGCGTGTGTTGATTAGCCCGAGTGGCTTGGACGAGACCAGGCCGCCGTGCTGCCACCTGAACCAGGTCCTTGGTTGTCTTTCATAAAGACAACATACTGGTGCCGAACACCCGGGACAAAACCCCCCGGTGGACGGGTTTCACCTGGACAGAAGCAGCGGCCAGGACGGTGGAACCGTACCCAGGCGTAAGGGGAGACGTCCCCGGACCCGCGAGCGTCATGGACAGCGTCGCATGGGTCGTAAGTATGAGGCAATGGAATATCGCGTTTAAGCTCAGGGACTTTTATCTTGCTATAGCAAGGCTGCCTGGGCTTGGAGCAGCCGAATGCTCAGTGGATGCCATGCATCCGGAGATATGGGAACGGTGTACAGCCACGCTAGCCGAAAAAGCAAAATCCTCAGGTGAAAGCGTTACGGCACGGGGCAAGGCAAAAGAAACCCCGCGCAAAGCAATAGAAAAACAAGAGACGCAGAATGCAGCGCGCACGTGTTTATTAGTCAAACCCGAGCTTGGGGGGGGGGCGAAAGCGCAGACCGTCCCTGAGGAGGGTCCACCCGGGACCGGAGACCCGAAAGGGCTCAGCGCGACAACCCCTTCCCCGGATCAGAGCGCAGCCCGGCCCCGCCGCAGAGCTGAGCCCAGCCCAGCCCGGCAGAAGCAGCGCTGCCGCCGGAGCGGCGCGTTTCAAGCGGCGCGGCCCCGACCCCGCTGGAGCGCGCTCCGAGCAGCGCGACTCCGCTCCCGCCAGAACCCAAGCCCGCCCGCGGCTCCGCGCCGCTTCCCCGCCGGCGCGCCGAGCGGAGCAGCGCCGAACCCCGCCGCACAAGCCCCCCGGGACGCCCCCGCCGCAGAAAACCCCGGGACACCCCACCGCGAAAAACCCCCGCGAAAACCCCGCCGCAGAAAAACCCCGAGAAGCCGCCGCTTCCCAATCCGTCCCGCCGCCGGTCAGAGATCCGCGGTCAAAGGCGCAGCCGCGCGCGGGCGCTCTTGGCGAGAGCCGGCGGGAGAGACCGGAGTCGCAGGGGCCGCGGCTCGGGGAAAATCCCCGGCCGCGCGGCCATGCGGTAGTTTTGAAAATGGCGCCGAATGCCGCGGAGGGGGGCGGAGCCCGGGCGGTCCCGGCGCGAAATCTCGGACACCGCGCGACTTCAGGGGCGCGGCGCGCGGGAGAAAGGGGCGGAAGGCGGCTCGGGACACAGAGCCAATCAGCGGCCGCGCCAGGAGCCGCCACCATATAAGGAAAAAACCACCCCCCGCGGTAGGCGCGGCGAGCCGGGGGGGCGGGAGCGGCCCCTCCCCCGCGGGGAGGAGCGAGCCCGGGGCCGAACAAAACGGCGCGGAGCCCCGGAAGTACGCTGGCATTTCATTTCCGGCGCGGAGCCTAGCAACAGCTCTACTGACCCCTCCGAGCCGGCGGGAGCGCGCGGGCGGGGGGAGCGCGCGGACGAACCCAGCCCCCTCCCACCGCAAGCGGCGCGCGTGCCTCAGAGTCAGCAAGAGACGCCCCCGATACGGGACCCCGGGGTAACCCTGGCCATGAAAGTGGGGAGAAAGCCCCCGGGGGTGTAAGGGACGTGCTGCCTCTGTGGCAGTCGGAACCCCCATGTAGTGAGACCATGAGAGCCACTGCTGCACACCACTGCTAACAACCGAACTTGACCCTCAAAACAAAACTAATGAGAAGCTATGAGTTCTGTTTGCAGGGCACGCTTGTGAACCATCCCAGTAACACACACACCCCTGCTCCAGAAAGAGATAACAAACCACCAAACTGCCAGACAACACCTGAAAATCCCACGGTAGTAAGATCCAAACATACACAGTGTCTTTCTTCATGCAATTTTACTGTTACAAGCTTGTAGCCAAAGAAACAAGCTAGCCCAGGCCACTACCCTCATCAGCTATTTAAGTGAGTCGTGCAACAAGTAACAAAGTGCTCAAAAAAGTCACCATAATAATACCCCATCCTTCGTGTTCCATATAGCCAGCCTGTTTAGAAGCTATTTTACTAACCCTGAATGAAACCAAATCAAACCTGACTAACCCATATTAATTTTGCTATAATATTAAACCCCCTTTTTCTACAAAATCATTGCTTTAAATACCCCCTTCAATTACTCCACAGCCAGTACCCCCCACCAGTACAAGTAAGACACCCCCCACAAAAGACCAATAAGTAAGTAGTCCCATCCACATTTAAGATGTAAGTTTGCCAGAAACCCAGAGTGAATCCTTATATGTTCCTTACCACGTTTAATAACTCTATCAATTTCTGTGTTCAAGTTCTAATTGTTTCTAAGGTCCTGCATCACTCAGACGAAAAGACATACCACCTTCTCAAAGAACCTAACAGACTCCACAAAGAAGAAATTAACCATCGCAATGCTGCTTGGCCTGAGAGCAGCTAGCACAGCCACGAGTATCTCAACCATCGCAACCCAGCAACACAAACTCTCTCAGCTGCAAATAACCATCAACAAAAACCTGCAAAAAATCAAGAAATCCATCTCCTACCTAGAAAAATCAATCTCTTCACTTTCAAAAGTAGTTTTACAAAATAAGCAAAGACTAAACCTTTTAAAGCCTTCAGCACCTGCCTTAAAAAATCTACCCTGATCTACTAAACCACCCTTTCCTTAACAAGTTACAAGTCTGTACCTCACTCCAATGCCTCTATCTACAACTACCTCATTTTGTATGTGATAAGGAGGGGGGAGATGTGGTAAGATAGGGACAGGCGGAGCGGAAGATTACCGGGATGTCACGGAAAGACAGACCCCTTCCCCCCCTCTCTCTCCCCTGCTTATCTGCTAACCCCAGGAGTCAGAAAAGAATGTAGCCACACCTGTCCTGGTAAAATTCCACTACCCACTATCCTCCGAGACCCCAAACCCCCCTCTGACGTAGCAAAGACTCCTAAACCTATATAAACCCACGAAGTAGGATAATAAACGCTTTTCAACCGTCTGCCATATTGGTATCTGCGTGTGTTGATTAGCCCGAGTGGCTTGGACGAGACCAGGCCGCCGTGCTGCCACCTGAACCAGGTCCTTGGTTGTCTTTCATAAAGACAACAGTTGTATTTAAATGGTTTTGAAATATCTGAATTCAAACTGAAATAGGGGAAATTTAGGCTAGATATTTTGAAAAAATCTTTTATTCTGAGTGTGGTAACATACTGGAGTTGGTTGCCCAATGACCTCGTGAATATCCTATCACTTGCAGTGTTCAAGGCCAGGTTGGATGGAACTTTGAGCAACCTGGTCTCACAGGAGGGGTCGTTGCCCATGGCAGGGGTGGTTGGGACTAGATGATAGTTCTTTCAAATCCATACATCCTATGATTCAATAATTCCATGATACCTTTATGTAGTACAGGAGAGTGATAAAGCAAAGTACAGGTTTTTATTAAGCAACACAAAGCAGTAAAGGAACACAAAGCAGAATGTTTGTATTCTATCTGCTGCAGGAGGATGCTGTCCTGTTCTCCCCATACCATCACAGGTGTGGCCAGGCTCAATCCCCACAGTTCCCTTCCCTCCAGCACAGTGCTTCACAGCACCTCTTCCAGCTTCTTCCACAATTTGAAGAGGCACCTGCACCATCCCCTCTTTCCTCCTCTGGCAAGTCCAGGCAAGATATTCACTGCATCCTCGAGCATCACCTCAAACCAGGGGCACACTGAGGCTGCCAGGGAGACCTTGGCCTGTGTATTGCTGAAGTCTGGGATGTTCTCCTGTGCAGCAACATTGCTCTACACTGCTGGATCCAGCCCACCATTCCCATCCCCTCAAGGAGCAGGTATGGACAAAAGGGGAGATACCACCATCTGGGCAGGAGTGCATGGGGAGAAAAAGAGTGAGAAAGGGCAGATGGATGTCAAGACCAGTGGATGGGGAAAGGTGTTCTAGCACTTGCTTCTTCCATCTCTGCTTCCCCGTTACCAAATCAGGAATTCAAAACATTAATTGGCAATAAATTGTTAAATTACCCTAAGCTGGGTCTATTTTGCCTGTGACGGCAATTGGCAAACCATCTCCCTGCCTGTATCTACACCCACAAGCTTCCTCACTCATGTTCCCACAAATTTGCCCACATCCTGCTGTAGGGAGGGAGTGGCCAGAGGCTATTGGTGAGGCTGGCAGCCAGATAGGGCCAACACACCATAAACAAGAACCTTCTAATGTGAGTGACCCAACACCAGGGAAGAGACGCACCCGTCCTTACATAAAGGATTTGACCCCTACAGCTGTTGTAAGGTTTCACCCCAGTTGTCTGATAGAATCATGAACAGAGACTTGAGTCACCTGCAGGTGCCTGGGCAGCTGATGGCCATGGCATCACAAATCCCTTTTTCCTATGGCCTGTATCAGTTTTGGCTCTCTCTCTGCTGAGATCCTACTCTTCTCTGCCCAAAATTTTCTGCACATACTGCATTTGTTACATTTCCACATTCTTGCTCCAAATAATCCTCAGCTCTTCTTCCAGTCTCTGGTGTTTATAATTTCCATTCTTCCTGTGATCCGGGCTTCTTTGACTTCCCTCCAGTTTGAATCTTCACACCCTATACTAGATGTTCTCAGTAGCAAAGGCAACAAACCTAGAGGAAAGACAACCCACAACATTTTCAGCATTTAAATATTTTCACCAGTGTCTTTTAAATCCTCTCTCAGGCTTTGTGATTCTTTCATACATGATTGAATATCAGGCTCGTTTCAGACAAACTGTAAATGATTTCTTTTTGTTATACACAAAAATGTTTTTATTCTATGAACTAAGGTATTTTCCGTGATGAAATTAGGCTGCATTCTCATAAGGATGGTAAAATCACATTCCTGACAGAGAGGTGTTTCTCCCACCAAATGTTGTCTCTTATTCTGAAGGATAAAAGCACATAAGCTTTGTATTGAGTCACAGTGAGAATTTTAAGTGTGACTAGACAGGGCATTTATTTTGATGTATTTTTTGAAATGGCCAAATTGTTTTGGTTGAAAATTCAATAAATACAAATCCACCCACCCCCAAAATAAAATAGCCTAAAAATGGCAACAAAAAACCCACACACATGATTGATCACAACCTCAGCTAAATTCTCATTATAGAGAACTCTCATTATAGAGTCTGAATGAGCGCAATTTTGCAAAGTTATAAGCAGCCCAGGCAGACTCTTTTGATAATGAAAGTATCACTACTAAAAGTGGATCACAATACACATCCCTAAGTTTGATACATTTCTTAAATGTTTGTGTTGGCAAAGCTTAGGCTATGACAGTGATTAGGACAGGAAGCTTTTCTGTACATATTTTTTGGTCTGAATACTTTCATCCTGTCTTTGAGGTCTGTGAATCAGTCTTTCTGCTATTGCACTTACTAGTTACAAAGGAAGAAAGTGTCACTAGAGAAGCATAATCTTTCTACACTTAGTAAATGAAGACAAATTTGCTTAAGCACTTCAAGTTTATTACATTATTACCATATAGAGGCTAGAAAAATGAAATGTCACATATACAAAGATTTTTTTAAACACAAACCCAAATATTTATTCTCTGTGTTGCTTTGAACACAGAGAATAACATTGAGAAGGTGCAAATTTGATCTGTGTTGTTGACACCAAAACTGCTGAATTATTAAATCAACTGTGGAAATTGCATTAATACATAAAAATTTTAGCTTACTTTAACAGATCTTATAATTTTCAAAAAATATTTTTTATTATTATTAATATCATCATCTTTTTTTTCCACATTTTGAAGGACTTACTCATTTTTTTCCTGAGAGAAAACTTTCCTTAACACATATGGCAGTCTGTGTGGGTTTGCAGAATCTAGAAGAATCCCCTTGGAGAGGAAGCCAAGGCCAGCTGAGCAACAATGTCTATTATTTTCACAGCTAGCTCCTTCAAATTAGCTTCCCATATAAAATTTACCTTGTTTCAGATTTTTAAGTGGCTTTTAAGGATCCTGTGTACATATTTAGGAATCTGGCTTGAGGCATTTACTTTTTTAAGTGTTGATCCCTACTTCTAATCTGGAGCATAAGAAATGTTTGAATTTTAAACATGCAAGCTTCGGATAAGTTGAGAGTTTCTACATTCCTGTCAGTGGAGTTTTTATTTTAAACTGGCAGTTACAGGCATAAACAACACTTAAATTTTGGCAGTAAACGAACCTAAGAATATAGATTTGTCAACTTCAGCACCCAAAACATTACTGCAAAATATTTATTTTTAGACCTATCTGTCCTAGGATAAAATTGCTAATCAAATACAACATACAATAAAAGTTGAAAAACCTATGGTTGAGGTAATATTTTAGCAAAGTATGCCAATGGACATAGAATAGTACTGTTGATATATAACTGATCTACCATGCTACAAATGAAATAAAGGCCAAATTTTGATGTAGAATCTACTGAGTTTTTACTGTTACTTATGCCATACATAAAGCCTACGCAAAAGTATGTAAGGTCTGAAGGCTATGCATCTCTCTTGACAGGAGCAAGCTTCTAGTAGAGACAAAGTAAACAGAATTCAGTCACCTTTAGCAGGCCTTCCACTCATGTAAATCTTTCATCTCAGTGGTGGTTGTTAAAAAAGTGAATTTCTTCCCTCTTTAAACTCCACATAGAAAGACAGAACGGAGTTTTGATACACGGTAGGGCACAAATATAGTCAATGACAAAGTACAAATAAGAGAATAAAGGATAAATTCCTGTATATATATAATATACACAGGTATATATATAATATATGTAATATTTTGTTATATATAACATATATAATATTTTATTTCAAAATAGAAGGTAGGCTGCAAAAGAGGTCATTTTTGCTATTAAAATCTTTCAAGTTAAAAAAAAAAGAAAGGTAAAGCAATACTTTGAAAAGAAACCCCACAGCCCTTTTTTTTTCTAATTCTGGTAGACAGAGCAAGTAAAAATTGGCTTTTGAATATTTTACTTTACATGAGGTATTTAAGCTAAAAATTGTATCCATCTTGTTAAGCATGTGATGTCTACCTAGCTTAAGAGTCATGACACTCTGAGTTTGGGAGATGATTCTACTTTAATGGGAAAGAGATTAGAAGAGAGTAAAACTGTGAATATTAATCATATTTACATGTACAGCAGGGACTTATTTTTGCTCATTCTATGAATAAGAATGTCTGCACAAACAATACCATTTAAGTACTGTGGCATCATTTTTAATGTTCCCACACAATAGCTGATTTCTCAGAGAAAATCACAGCTTCTCAAACACTGTGCCTGCTCTATTTAGGAACTGTGAGGCCTGGGGATGAGGGCAGCACAGCTTACAGAAACCTCGTGGGCTGCCTCAAACCTGCTTTACCTCAGCTGTTGCCATGGAGCTTTTGGAGAGTTTGACAATTCAGGACAATCACTGGATCTCATATTCACTTTCCATTTTCATGTTTTTCAAAAGAGGGTTCTTGATAACACTTGCTGAGAAGGATTGCTTTCCACAAACTTTGCAGTCCATAATAACACTGTAAAACACAGCCTTAACATTTATGGAAGGATGCTGTGTAGACTCAAGGGCATCAAACTTATCCAGGGAAGTCAATACCCCATGGAGTCTGGAAAATGCATAATTTTGAAGATGCGGGTATGAATTAGATTTACACCCGTAGAGCTAAAGATTAAAACATTGTTTGGGAGTTAAAAATATCATAATAAAAATAATGGTTAGAATACACCACAGGATGCAGCCGGAGTTTAGATTACATTTAGCAGTCCACACCTGTCTATGCTTCTCAGACCATGAGGCTGGAAACTTAACTACAGTGTAAGTCCCAGAGCACCTCCCTTCTCCCTACTATATCTACAGCTGGGGTTTTGGTTATCTCCAATTCCCATCCTGAATCTAGACCATCTCTTCCTGCCCATCTGATCTTCATAAGACTGGTCTTCATAACACTCTTGACTGGGCAGTAGGATACTGCTATGATGAAGTGGGAAATTAGCATCTTTCTACTTCTCGAGTTCCAGCACTCTGAAGCAGGAGTGACAATCTTTGTTAATATGTGAGAAGTTACAGTTTTCCCATAGTTTTATGAGAGCCATAGCATTCAACTTGAATAAAGCAGAATTTGGGGAAAGAGGCCTTAGACTGAGTAACCGTCCTCTTGTGTGCCAGCTGGTAACAGGGCTGTGCCATGTTCACTGCTCTTCGCTGCTGCTGGCATGTCACTATATATCCCTGATATACAGATGTTGTGAAGGTGAGGCAGAAATTACGGAAGGTTCTGTGCTCAAGGGCTATCCATCAAAAAACCGAGCACTCTGCCAGCAGACTGGCGCAGAAGGTCCACACAACATGCTGGCAGTATACTTCCGTATCTGAAGTCAGATTAAAACAGTGTAACTTATACTTGTCCCTTCCAGCATACAGACTCACAATCTTCCTGAATCTGCCTGAAACTGAGGGTGGGCTTCTGATATTTAGTCATAGTGGTATAACCCAAAGAAACACCTTGAGGGAGACCTGACACTTGAGGGATCACTCACTGTGTTGTTTTTCCCCGTGTTGCTGTACAGCCTCTCAATGCTCTGTGGTATGTACTGTGTTGAACAGCTTTTCTTTTTTTTTTTTTTTTTTCTTTTTATACTGAAGGTATCAGAAATGTGAATGTTAGAGTGTAGACATTTGCCAGTGGTTTCATCTAAGTGTGATTTTCTGCAGGTCTTGGGACAATGATTCATGCAGTGCTCACGGAGATCCTCAAGGGCCAGTAATCTGGGAAAAGGGTCTTTAGCAATTGCACTGTTTAGTCCAGATCACATAATGTCTAGCTGTCAAGATGGTGACACTACTTGATAAAGGCACCTACAGCAGGTGGAGACCTACACTAGTTGTGTTTACTTCCCTGGCAAAGATATTTTACATCTAGTAACATATTAATTTAAAAGATGAAATGTTTTAATTTTTTCTCAGTTTTATTACATATTCCACAGATTTGAATACAATATTTCTGTTCATGCATATGCCTATTGTTGCTAGGATTTACAATGCAACATGACTAGCTTGTTAATGCCTTTTGAGATGATCTGAATCTAATCAGCATGTTCAAATGCCCTTGTTTCATGCTCTGCAAGTGCTAGGGAAACGAAATCGTGCCTCACATTCATTGTCAAAAAGGCTTTTTAATGGCAAGAAAGAGAGTCTCAGAACTGATTCTCTTAGGGAGATACAAAGTGGATTCTGTTTACTCTGAAGTATCCTAAGCTCTAAGGAGATTTTCAGAGATAAAAAGAAGGGATCTCCAAACGAAGCTGTATGTTTGGTGATACCTGTCTCAGTCCAGAGATGAGATTGTCCTTATACATGTTTTTATTCTCTTCCAGCCTACCACTGCTGTTTGTGTTGTTGAGTATTCCTGTCATTAACACCAGTGAGTTGAACACCACCAAATGAAAGCTTTTGAATTCCTGATCTTGGATATTGGTTGAGAGTGAATATGTAGTGATAAAACACATCACATAAAAACTGAGTGTTGTCTTTATGACCCTGTAACACGCATTCTCAATAAATCAGGATTCCCAAAAAAAAGAACTCTCATTCCAGAGTTTACAGCTAGAGCTGGGAGGAGCACTTAAAAGTACAAGTTGCTGTTTGCTCATTTTCTGCTAGTACTTCAGATAGACAGCTTTGCTTCTTTTGCAGAGAAAAAATGGCAGAAAGGAAGGAAAGCACTAATGAAACATTTATATACCACCAGTGCAAAAGTCTAGAATTAAATATTGAAAGGCCTATTCGTATTACAATCTGCATTCAGGATTGGCACTAATTGGCAATGCTGTTGGCAGTCTCAACAGGGAGGGCAAGAACTGAGTAAGCACAGAGACTTATTCATCCAAAGAAGTGGTTCTTCCAGGTCAGGCTTAATGCACATTTACTATGAAGAAAGGGAAGCACAGCGCTATCAGCACAGCACAGTGCTGATAGTGTAACTGTCTTATTTGGAGAGCCTTGCATTTGCCACATCAGTCAGTTTTTGCCTAGGGATTTTCTCAGGTGCTAACCCCACTGTCAGTGTATTTTGAAAACTGTTTCTTACCAGAGGTAGACTTTTGCCTAAATATTCAGAATCAAAGAGGAAGAAGACTATTCTAGGCAGTATAAAAAAGAATTTGATGGACCATTGCCTAGATCAAATAAGCAATGATTTGTAGACAACTGATGTCAGTAGCCACTAAAAAGCTCTACTTTTTGTATTTGACTCATTAAAGCTGTAATATGGGACAGATGTTTACCCTGCTGAAACCATTGTCCCACCTTTTAAAAATTTTTCATGAGCTTCACAGTCTTTCTCTCTGATTTCTCTGGTTTATTCAATACACTGCTGCAATATTTACTTTCTTTGCCAGTCATTTTTACAATAAACCTACTCCTTTGACTCCCCACTATAATTTCTTGGTAAAGATCCTGATCTTTAGCTTGAAGTGCCAATTACAAAGCAAATCATTATCTTCCTATTTGACTTTTCTTGCAGTCTCATGTACAGCTATTATTTGCTGACAATTTTTTTCTATACATCTTCATACCTTTTTCCAGTGTTTCCCCTATACCTTGGTATCTTGTGCCAAATCCATTAGCCTGTCATTCTTTCAGTCCTTCAAGATCACACAGTGTAAGAATTTTTCAAGCATTAACAAACAGGTACAGAATCAGGGATTTTTGAGATAAATTTTGTTTATTTTCCTGTATTTTGTTTTAAGCTAACTGACATGACAGAAGTGAATAGTGCACATCTTGAACAGCTGTAACTGCACAGACTGGGTGACTGCTGTGTGTAGTGGGGGGAGGACAGAACGGGAATATTGAGCAGACCAGGGAATGGCTGCTTGAAAATGTACTGGCAGAAAAAAGTGTGTTAATGGGTGAATGTATACAAAACTGAGCCAGCCACCTCTAATAGCTGACATCTGACCATTCTACACCCTTCTCTCTCCATGTTCTCCACCAAATGAGTCCAATGCATGAGAGGAGGTGCTCAAAGCTTATTAAATCTGGACTTTTCAACAAATGTTTTCAAAATGAGCTTCTCAAGTCATGCCAGATATTCAGTGTTTTGCTACAAAGTATCTCACTGATTTGTCATGGGGAAGTGCAAGCAACAGTGCTTTTCCCAGGATGGAAAATGATGTAAGCTTCTATCTTTGCTGCTTTTAGCTTTAACTCCCGTTTCGCTACTATAGGCAACATAGCATCCCTCTTCTGTTCCTGTAAGATAATGTTAGCATAGCACGTGATCTAACATAGTCTAGAGGCCAGAGCAGAACAATACTGTCACTTGTCTTTGTAACTCTGGGGTGATATAATAAATTTTGAGTGCCTTCTTAGATTTCAATTTATGGCATAAATTAGAGCAGTTCAGTGACTACTCTAATGTATTCCTTGCTGCCCCCAGATTACAGTGGCTGTTCTGGCAGCTGATAATAACTGAAGTGTAGAAGTGCTTTGGCTAAGCTCTATTTTTTTCCAGTCTCATCTCTGGCAGCAAGAGAAAGAAATGACAGAGACCTGCAGTGTTGCTTTTCACCACCTGGCAATTTTCTTATACATCCTGAAGAACAGGTAGGAAATTAAGCAAGTTGTTCTGCTATGAGAATGACACCAGAGGCAGATTCTGACAAAAAAAGGTTTAGCTTTATAATCAAGGACTCAAGAATTATGAATAAGTCCAGGTTTTGGAGATATAACAACTTATGTGCAGAATGTGGAGTACCTAGGAGGAACTCTTTTCGCTGCTTAGTTAAAATTATTTAGCTAGGTTTGGAGCAGTATATGTGCATAATTCATTCCGTCAAAATCAGTTTTTGCATGTGTGTGTATATTTCATATTTCCTTATCATTAAGTATTGGTATAGGCAAATTTCTGGGTCAAATTCTGTCCCTAGTGACTCTTATTATTCTCTTCCACAATAAATTAACTTTTAAAGGTCTGATCTAAATGCTGATTAGAAACCACAAAGAGCTATCAGCATTGTTACAACCCAATATCCAGCATCAAAAGCTTGCTCTAAACAATGAAAGACTGGGACTTGGAGAATTCTGTATTATTGTTTTTCCTTCCACTAGTAATCGGATAATAATAATAATAATAATAATAATAATAATAATAATAATAATAATAATAATAATTTTTTATTTACCATCTGGGCATACTGGATAAATGGATCAAATTAGAAATCTGAAAAACTGGAGATTTTCATTCTAGTTCCTATTTTCATCAACTATATACTGTTTTAATTAGAGCACATCAGTAACTGGTCTGTGCTCACATTTGTCTTTCTGTGAAATGGAGAAGATAGCTATTCTAGAGTGATGCTGTGGGACTTTCTTAATGATAAAAGCTCTTAGCCTGTTTTGATTTCACAATTGGATTAATCAGGGGTCCAGCAATAAGCAAATAAGGCCCGGGTTTACATATATTATATATACTATTAGCACATTAATTGCGAATTTATGTTCTCATGAAAGAAAGAAAAAGGAGAATATTTTCGAAATAATATCTAAACAATATTTTAAAAATTGACACAATAACTGAGTTTAAAAGCCATTTAGGTTCTAAAAGATGAAGGAATTGTCCAGAAAGATTTGCAAAAGCTTCCAGATGCCTAACTTTTGTCAGGTGCTTTGGTTTCTGTGACTGGAAGTTTGGTCACAAATCCCAGTGTCGATGCCCGTTTGAAACACTCAAAGTGACTTCTGTTTGCTGCAAGATCACAACTAGGCATCTGTAGTCTTCTGCAAAATGGTGCGAAGACGGCAAAATTGCTGCCATAAACTGCCGGTAGCTCCGTTTTAGAGGAAGTGAGAGGCGCAGAAAACTCTTATATAATGTAAAATAGCTGCTCTTACTTAAACCCGTGACATCGCCCGGGAGCGGAGCGTGGCTCGCTGTGCCCACGCCGAGTCGATCCCAGCAGATCTCGGGCTCTGGCAGACCCCGCTGCCCTCTCCGCACTGGGCTGCGGGCGGCGGGACCGGGCCGTCAGGGCGCCTCGGAGCCTGACGGGGACCGCGGTACAACCGCGGGACAGCCGCGGGACATGGCGCTTTCCCCGACCCCCTGCCTCTGTCTGCGGCGGGAGGCAGCTCCCCGGCCGGGCACACCCAGCCCCGCCGCGCTCCGCCGCTCCGGGCCCGCCCTCCGCACCATTGGCTCCGCCCGGCCTGGCCCGGCCCGCCCCGCCCGGCCGCAGGCGCCGCCCGCCCAGAGCGCGGTGCCTGGCCCGGCCCGGCCCGGCCCGGAGCGCCGCTGCTGCGCCGCGCTCTGCGGGCGGGGGAGCGCGGCTGCCGGCGGCGGGGCACGCTGGCGGTGCGGCTCTGAGCCCCCGGCCATGGCAGAGAAAGTTTCGGCGGCTTCGGAACGGGCGCGGGGAGCCGGCCACGTCGGCTCCTCTTGCTCCGGCTCCTCCTCCGGCTCGGAAACTCTCTCCGAGGAGGGAGAGGGCGGCGGGGCGGCGACGGCCCCCGGCGGGGCGACGGCTTTGCCGGAGCGGGCGATCCCCGGCGGGCGGGCGGAGGACGACGCCTCGCTGGAGGAGCGGGATGAAGAGGTGCGCGGGGTCGGGGCGGCGGCGGCTGCTTCTCCGCCGCTGTGCTCCGGGACGCGTCGGGAGCGCCCGCAGCGCGGCCGTCCCGGGGTGCGAGGCGAGTGACCCCGCGGCGGGGAGCGGCTCCGTGCCCACCTGGGGACAACAGCGCCTTCGCGGCGGTCTCCCGGCTAAACCCGAGACGTTCTTGTTTCTCCTCGGCTGTAGCTCTCTGACTGCCGAAAATTGAGAGTTGGCGGTTTTTGTATGGAGAGGGGAATTTTTGATTTAGGAAGGCTTGTTTGTGTATTGGGTTTTGTTTTTTTCTTTTCTTCCTGTCCACGAGCGTGTCACCTTTGGAAAGCGCCGCTCCAAAGCAAACTCTTTAATGCCAGGAGGAAGTGATGGGCAAGCCCCCACACGACAGTAATCCTCTGGTGAGAGCTTATGACAGGCTGTGTGGATCATGGAGGAGCTCTGTGGGTGATAGATCCATAGCGTGATACGCGGAAACGCGTGTTGTTCCCTTTCCTCTCTTGATCTAGCTACAATACCTACTAAGCACTCTTAAAACAACCGCCCCACATTGTTACAGTAAAACAACCTTTTTGGGTCTTCAGACGGATATTTAAAATTTATTTTATTTATTTCTTGTTGCATGATTCACACTTCTTAAATCTATTTCAAGCCATGACCCCAGCCAGGTGCATTGTTCTGTCTGACTGCTACTTTACTTTGCTTCAGTGCATCATCTCTTCTGTGCCTTGCTTACGGTCTTTTGTTGTGGTCAACTTTTTAGTTTGCTCTTAGGGGGCGTTTTTTTATTCTGTGTCTTTATGCGGCTGGATGTGCAAAGGTTTTTTTGAGAAACCTTGCGTTTCTAGAGGAATATCTGTTAAGCTGGTTGAAGTTATTTTCAACTAGTTGAGCTGTGGTTGTCAGGAATGTTTCCCTCTGCAGTAATGGCTGTTTATGTAGCTCCTGTTTTTCCTTTTTTCCTGGTGCATCCTGTAAAATGATACAGCTGTAGAGCAGCATGATGAATTGGAACTAAATATACCTTTCTGTATCCCTTCCTTTTTTTTTTTTTTCCCCAAAATTCTCAAACTGAGACCCGGTTCCTTGCCTCTTTCAACTGCATGATCCCCTGAAGAGTGGAATGTATTTGCAGTGAAACACAATTATGACAGGAGTAGAGTGAATGTGGATATATTAACTTTTTTTTAATATATAGATATGAACTTGCTTTTTCACTGAACTGAGTAGGAGCTCCCTAGCTGCTGTTAGTATGAAGCACACTGCTAGGTGATTAAGATATCCTGCTCCTCGGCAGGAATTGATACATGTGGGCTTGGGGCTATGCTTACCACAATTAGATGGTTTAGTGTTCAGTTGGTAAGCCCACATAATACCGTGCAGAGATGTACGAAGTCTGTATATTCCATTAGCTAAACTCAGAGCTGCTGGCAGACCAGTGAATTTCTGGTAAAGGCTTGTTATTTCTGTGTGTTCTTTGGAGATAAATTATAGGCATCTTTTGAGTTGACAGTATAGAGCAGGTAAGCTCAAAAATAACTCAACGTTGCAATAATGGAATTTTGAAATTCTCTAAAGGCAATCTGATATCTCACGATCAGTTAGTAGTGCTAGAATGCAGCAGCATAAACTCAAGTTAGTGTTGTGGTGGGAGCGTTTGCTTAGACTGTACAGCTTTATTGTCCCCTTTATTTCCTTCTGCTAGGTTCCTTTATTACCTGAAACCAGATTTTTGTCGCCTGTTTTTTGTGTTTTGATTTGCCCATCCTTCCATTTTGGTGTAGTCAGTGTTTGCAGCTGAATTTCTGCTTACCTGCAGAACCACCTGGCAAATCCTCCTGCATAATAGTTTTGTGCAAGGACACCACAGTGCATTTCAGTGCAGAGGTTAATTTGAAGCTGAGAGAGCAGCTATTCACATGGAAATCTCTAAGGACGGTTGAAGAAAGCAAGGCTGAGGTCCAAGATGTACATACAGATGATTTCAGGGTTTCTTTATGTGCCACCTGCTGAAAGTATCCCATTGAGAGAAGTGCTTGAAGCTACTGTTTTCAGATTGACATCCTCTTTAATTACTGTCGAATAATGAAATGTTGATGTTCTCTGTGGTTTTGTGTTACTGAGTTCTTTTAGTTATATGGATGTCCAGTGTTTGATCCTGTGCTTGCAGGTTTCATTTTCTCCTCTTGCCCTGTCCTTGTTTCTGTTGCGAGCATAGCAGAATTGAATCTGTTGTCACAGCTGTTCAATATCCTTCAGACAGCAGTGGAACAGGTTGTCCTGCTACCTCTATTTCTACTTTAGCTGTCAGTAAATTCTTCTAAGTCATGACATATAAAAGGTTTCCGAACTAAATAAATAGATAGTTAGAAAACATGTAGATTTCCCCGTACATATTACCATTTCATGTGGTATTTCAGGAGAACTATTTCTTCTTCTGTGACGCTGTATAAGACATTATTTACAACTTGAATCTGTCTCCTTCTGGTTTTCTTTGGACTAAACAGCCCCAGTGTCTTTCATCTTCTCCTGTAGAATGTGCTTCTAGACATTTGATAATTCTCATTGCTGTCCTGTGTATTCATTCCAACTGGTTACATCTGTCTTGAGGCATCTGTCAAAAAACAGAATGTCATACTCAGATTACACCTTGCCAGATCTGCTAGAACAGACAGATTACTTCAGAGGTTTCTCGAACACTGTTGTTTTTTACATACCCCAGACGGCTAATTTGCAATTTGTGGTCCATTGTGAGTTATATGTCTTTCCTGAAGAATGGTAAGAACATTTCTACTCTACAAAAAAGTGGTTGGCCTCCCCACCTTAGTGAAGGAAGCTTAATGATGCTATCTAGAGTAGGTCAGCTTCTTTTATGTTCAGAAATTAGACTGTAGAACTGAAAGCATGATAACTCCTCTTCTGAGTATCATGTCTGGAAGAGTTTCCTGCAGGGAAGCAAGGAAGGAAAGGGTGGGAAGAGATGATATATCACTTTTTTTTTCTTCTCTGTTGTCATTACTTCATCCTACAGTTGCATAAACTTCACCTTAAAAAAAAAAAAAAACAAAACCAAAAAACCACAAAATACCTGAAGAAAAACAGTCCTTCATTTCATGTAAGCAATAAAAAATAATAGTTTACAAGATTACAGTCATCAGTTTCTGAAGTTTTTGATGTCTTACTTTGAGATCGTAAGACACATGAGAATTAAATAAGGGTTTAATACCAACATCTGAGAAGCTCTTTGCATTTGGAACATATGTGTATTGAAGCGCTGTGGGTAGCAAGCACATAAACACAAATGAATTCAAGCAGATTATTTGCCTATGCTCTTCTGAGGTGGGTAGCTAACTGCTGACGGCAGGCAGGACAGGATTGCATGGTGAAGGGCACTCAAGTACAGTACTGCATAGATGATGGGTCACTACATTTCTAATACAGTGTGGTTGGTTAGTTTTTAAATTTTTTTTCTGGGTTCCCTTCAGAACTCTCTTTGCTGGAAAGTGTTTTGCAGACTATGAAGAGAGGAGTTGAGGCTGGGCAACAGGATGTTTTCTGTTGTAATCTGATTCTGCTGTCTGTGAGTAGTCAGTACTGGACTTACATTGTGGAGGATAATGGATATGGAGGATAATCCTTTTGATGGTGGCTTTCAAATCTTAGTCAATGTTTTATAGGGGAGCTGAAAGCTCACTTGGTTTAGCCTGTTTCTTAAGAGGAGAATGAAGGCAAGCTATGGATTTCTTGCTTACACTAGTATTCTCAAATATCTGAAGGTTAAATTGCGTATCTTGGAGTTGTCTGTTTTTCCATCACCTTTAGATAAACCTTGTTACAGTAACTACACATTGCTTAACAAAGCAGAGTAACAAAACAGGAAGGTTCCGAATTCTTTCAGAATCATACTTTGCCATATAACAAAACATCTGAAATGGATCCAGAAGCTTCTGAACCTGCCAGTGACTTCTGAATTACCATAGTAAGTTCTCTTCATTATTCTAGATGCTTAAAAAAACTCTCTTAGAACCTAAAACCACCTACAAAAAATGGCGGGGGAAGGGAAGTATGGTATTTTGTTCTCAAATAATTGCAATTCTTGCTCTGTAAATTCAGTGTTTGGCACTGAAGTGACTCTTTGAGTTTATAAGAATTGAGATGATGAGCATCATGACAAGATAAGTTTTGTCATGAAAAGTGTCCACGGAACTTTGAAGTTGATTGTTGTACATTTTCTCCTTCTATCTAGTTAATGTATACTGTGTATTAAAAAGTATCTCACTGCACAGAGTGAGTACAAAACCTTTTTCCGTTGTTGTTAACTCTTCTCCTGAATATGCCTTCTTGCTGTTGATGTTGCAATCTGTTGCAGCTTTATGAGAACTGTGTGGTGAGAATTAATTATTAGGAAGCTAAGATTTTGTCATTAGAGTAGTCATAGCAAGGTGAGGAGTGTGGTAGAGAATGTATTGCTCTAGAAACTACGCTTTCACACATTCATCCTTTAACGTATGTTTACTTGGAAGGTACAGTCCCTTCAGCATTACTGATTATGTGCCAGATCTTCACCCCAA